AGATATTGATTTACATTCCATTCAAGATTCAAATATAACTATAACCTCACATATGGTAATACGCCGAAAATGTAATGTAAAAGTAATATCAAAAGATCAATTATTTACATATAAGTATTGGATATTAAGCCGAGGATACCTCCAATCAGTTCTGTTTACAAATCCGATGGTAAATATTTCCTTATGGCTAGATTTAATTTAAATATTAAAAGTAAAAGTTCAACATAATGGGTTATAGAGGTATCGAAATTTGTTTAAATACCACCCTTAACTATAATTTTTGGGTACTGGTGTGACATTCGCTGGGGTATATTTAATTGATGGTAAAAGTTTGAAACATTTTTACTTGCTCACACTCCGAGCTTCCTACAGGAACAGGCAAGGGACCGTCATCATAAGGTAAGGCTTACTGACACTTTTTATCATATTCCTTGATAAATATCTCAACTAGTTAGAGGTATCGATCGATGTTGGATACCACTAATTAATCGTCTTTTGGTGATCAACTAGAAAGATGAGTGCGATTTTGCAAGGGAACTCCTGTCCTTGGGAATCCCCTGTCTCACAGTCTCAAAGACCCGTTTAGAAGAATAGTTAAAGTCTGTAGCTTAGGGCCAAGATGGTAAACATTAAAATACGTTGATAATTGTAATAAAACAGGGCATAAAATAAAATAGGTAAAGGGCTGAATCATTAGATCTGCCTGCTTGTTGATTGGGGTGTAGTGGTGGTGGTGTTGTAATCACCACATCCTTAATGTACCTTTCGCACAGCCTTCCCAATGTCTCCATGGAGAACGATGTCAGGCTAATTGGTCAGTATGTTTTTGGGATAGTGTAATCCATCCTTCCAGGTCTGGGTTTAAAGACTACTTTTACCTCTATCTCTAGTTTTGAGGTTTATATCCTAGAGCCAACGAGTATCTAAATATATATACGAGGTGCCATGTGAGTTCTTCCAGACCCCACTATAGTAGGGCTGGATAGATACCGTCAGGTCCTGGAGAGAAACTAGATTTTGCCCATCAAATTTTATCATCTTCTACAATGTGTTTAGCAGTTTGCAAATCGAGGTTTGCAGTTTTCATGCCATCCTCTTTGATAAGCGCACTAATACTGCAATGTAGATTTCTTAAGAGAGGCTTGCTGCCTGCGGGAAATCTTTCTTCGTAGTAGTATCTCGATGCATCCCTCTGTTTTTGTATTCTCTGAGGTGAGATTTGTAAGTATCCCAGTCCTCTTTGAGTTTTGTGGTTCTTGCTTCATTAACAGATTTCGTCTGATCGTGTTGGACCAGCCTCATGCGGCAGGATTTCTTGTAGGCATTGTTTATTGTGCTTTTGATAGTTTTCGATTACTTTTCCAAACCATTGCTATTGTTTAGTGTTTCGGCCTTCACCTCTCATAAAGATTCTTGGAGAAGGTGATCACAGGTTGCCCTGTCCGTCTTTTTAGGTTTTCAAGACAACGTGGAAGTCGGCAACATAAAGTTTATATAGTTAACCAGCGGTGGTCTGACATCGGAATGTCATCAGACACTTGCCCGTTGTGGATAAAGTGATATCTATTAATGTTAATAGATATCACTATTGCAAGAGTTAAAAAATGTTGGTGTAGTACCTTTATTAAAAATAAAAACATTTTTGGTAATTATATAATCATAAATTGGCTTACCTCTGGCGTTGTTATCCTTACTGTCCCAACTGAAGTGATGAGCATTTTAGTCGCAACCTATTACCAGCTTATACTTCTGGTTAAGGCAATATTCAATCAGATCCTCCAACTCTTTGCTGGCGTGGTTGTTTTGGATGGGAGACATGCAGATGCAATGATCGTTTTCTTTTCCCTTTTGGTGACGTATTCCGTCTTACCCACAGTTAAATCGGAGGTGAAAAGGTGTGCCATGGCTCTGATTGTGGACAGCTGGCGAGAAAGAGTTATTAAGTGACTTAAATCAAATACTAATATTCAAAAGAACTAATTATATTACCTAGTAATCCTAGCGTGATACCTACTTGTAGTCGAAACTCGTAGACAACATTTTATCAACTAGTAGCAAAATTCCCGGTTTTGTCATGAAAACTGGCAAAGAGTTTAGTAACTTAACTAGTAACTTAGACATTTAAAGACTGTTTTGTCAGATTTAGATTAGAATGACAGTTTAAGAAGTTGGATTTGCATATTTTGGATAATCAATATCCTTCTACGGGTTTTCCTCATTGAGATCAATTAGGTACTGTTCTCGTTTAATCTTTTACATAATAAAGTGGAATAAGTTGAGCTAATAAAGCATATTGCCGCGTTTAGGGTTATCGTTATCCTTAAATAAGCTGAGGGGTTAATTGTAGCTAGATGGTAAAACTTTTAACAAAACATAATATTTAATAAAATGATTTATTTACTAAATAAAATATTAATGTAAAAAGACAATCTTCATTGATTAATAGTAGAAATAAAAATTATACATTAACTAGGTATTTACCAAGGGTACACCATGTATTTTATATGTTAATAGTGCTTACTAGGAACAGATGGTAACACCATTTGACTACTTGAATTCTCACTCTCTTCGTAACTAACATTATTGTATACCAGTGAAATGTGTAGCATTTGTTAATTCCATAGGAGACTGGAAGTTCTATCTCTGCTGGCGTTCGTTTGGATATAATTCAATACTTGTTACGGTATTAGCCAAAGAAGTAAATGTTTTCTAAAAAGAAACAGTCGCTCGTAATTATGTGATATTTGCATCTAGTTTTATTTATTTTATTTTACGTCTTGATCATATTTGATTTGGAATTATTTTCCTTTTTATTTTATATGATATTGGGGTCGCTAAATTCGAATCCAGCGTTTGACTATACTTACCAAATCAGTGTTTTGTCATAACTCCAAAAAACCCAAAAAAAAACCAAAAAAACCCCAAAAACCCCAAAAACCCAAAAAAAATGGGTTGTTTTGAAAGTTTGAGTCACAGGTTTATATACGTTAAAACGTGCCAAAAAGCCACAATTATTGCACGATACACAAACTAACGGTATGTTCCTGCGCATCCAGCTGACTTACGGTGACGTCACGTGGGAGATAGTCTTTGAAATTCGATATTCCGCCGGTTTTAGATTTTATTCGTTTACAAATATGAAGGTATTAGGTAAATAATACCAATAAAAATATTAATTTTTCTCACAAATTATAGGTATTTTCTGACAAAATCCATAATCTGACATAAGATAAGTAAAGAATATAGACTAAAAATATAAGTTTGACTCAAATTTGTACTTTCTGGGCGTGGTAATTCTCTTGAAATCCCTTTTATTATTTTGTGAAATAAAAATAAGTGTGCAGAAACAAATTATTTATTTATGAAGAGTAAGTACACAAACATTATTTTGTCAAGTTTACTTTAAAAATACTCAAAACCAATTTTTCTCTTCATGTATCTTATTCTTATATATGTTCGTGTCCTGCTTTTAAAAAACCTATTTATTTGCTTTGCTTCTTAACCTTTTATAATTGGGAATTTTACTAACCATTGTTTAAATTAAGTTTGTCCTTTTTTTGATAAGAATTTACCTACATTTTGTGGAATTTGGAAATATTTTACATTACACTATTTTTAGATTTCGTATTATGGTTTTTGCAAGTCAAGAACGCGCAGCCGTGCATTTTAAACATTAATTCAGTTCTTCTCTGTTATATACAGAAACATATAGTCACTATTAACACAAAAACCAGTAAATTATTACAATAGTTTACACTATTCCATCGAAAAGTGTCAACATACCTTGAAAGTTCGACCAGCATTATGTCACTGTGCGTTTTGGACGAAATTTAAATCGGAAGTCAGCATACCGTTAGGATGTGTATAGTGAATTATTGGGTTTTTGAGGTCATAGCAAATAATAGGGGAGCCCAAGCAGGGATTTCGGGATTTACTAAAGAGCATCAGATTAATATACCAAGGGGATACCTTGTACCCGGTTACGTACCTCAACCAAATATCAACCCCATATATAAGGCCGCCCGTTGAAGAATAAAGAATAAAGATTAATAAAAAAAATTGATCATCAGAAATTCTCTAGCGCGTCAGATTATCAGATTAAGGTAGGGTGAGTTAATTACATGCTAAAAAGTGTATATGCCACTAATCTGACAATTTGAGAGTGACGTAAAGTAAGGGGAGGGCAGCAAAGTTGTAAAAAAAAGACGTTATCTCGACATTCTCGAGTGTAGCTATTTTTTTTTATTTTGAAAGAAATAATTCAAGGATAATGAAAAATATATATTCTGACGATTTACTCAAGACGAAATAATAAAGTTTAATGCGTGCAGCTGCGTAATGCATATATTTCCCTCTCCGCGTTTCTACTATTACTCTCAGAACTTTTCATACTGACATGGTGGTCATCATGTTAGCCAATATAGAACACCTGCAAGCAAGAGTAGAAGTTAGGATGGATCTTGGAGTTGGCAATGTACGCCGATTCATCGACGTATCCGTTATCTACAAAAAATTAGGCCCAAAAATTTCGAAGGCGCTTCCAGCTTTGCATGCGTTCACTGGTTGCGATTTCAACCCAGCACTGTACCGACGAGGGAAAAAGATACCTTTGCAATTTCTGATGAATTCAGAAATTTTTCAAGAAGCATTTCTGGATTTTGGGATCAAAGGAGCATAATGTGCAGGATTCTTTTAGCATCATACAGTATTTTGCTTGCCACTTGTATGGGTTGAAAAAATAAGACGATGTCAATCAAGCCAGGATTTCAATAAGACGTACAATGTAAAAGACAAATCACAACCCTTCTCCTTGAGTGTCCGGAATTACGATGCGTGCAACTTGCCACCCTGTGAATCGGAGTTACTCCAGCAAGTGTTACGCATAAGATGCATTGCATGCTTGTGGAGTAACGCCCATAATGCAAAAATTATTGATCTTTTACCAACGGACTATGGATGGAAAGTTGTCGACGGAACATTCAAAATCATATAGTTTGCAGGTGATCAATTGCCGAAAGCATACGAAGATGTAGTGATAACACCTGATATTCTTGAGGATACTCCCGAATCAGGTATTTCTTATCTCTAATAATTAAAAAAACACGTTATTTATAAAAAAAATATTGTTAAATATTTTAATGATTTGTTGTTCTAGATACGCAATCTGACAATGAAATCAAGCCAAAAGAGGAAGATGATTCTACTGATGAAGATGATGATTAATTTATCAATTAATTATAAAAAATTTATTGAGCTTTTTTTTATTATTTTCTTATAAATACAAGTAGTATTCTACTTAAAAACATACACTTTTTTATTTGAATGCTATTTTCTGAGCTTTTCAATTAAGTTCAATGATTTAAAAAATTTAAAAAATACCTGTGGCACTCGGGGACTGCCGCGGTAAAGCTATTGCATACCATTTTTTATCAACTTATGCAAATATAATTATTTATTTATTTTATTTATGCAGTATTTTTTTTTTCTTTGATAATAATTCAAGTTACACTTTTTGAGCATGGTGACCGATAAGAAAACAATTTTTTTCTTTTATTGAATAAATGAGAAGTTAATATTGTTTAAAATATTTTTATTATCTTACAATACATGTAGGTTATTCAGGAATTTTTATCATTGAAACTATAGGTTTATGGTAACTGAAAAAAGAAACAAAAATTTTGATATCCTCTAAATATCTGGAAAATACCGCGTCAATGGTGGTCCCATATTTTTCCGAAATTGTGTCTAAAAGAGCTAGAATCAGTTAGTAGCTAGTCTACACGCATACGTCTAGTCGCACGCACACAAACACCGTGCCGAAGTCTGCCGAACTAAAACGACGTTAGACGATGCACGGCTTTCAACGCCGCACCGCTGTGCCAGTCGGAGTGAAGGGTGTTAGGTTTATTTTCGTTACGGAATTTCTGTTTCAATTTTTTGATTTTTCGATTTTCGATTTTCGATTTTTCGATTTTTCGATTTTTCGATTTTTCGATTTTTCGATTTTTCGATTTTTCGATTTTTCGATTTTTCGATTTTTCGATTTTTCGATTTTTCGATTTTTCGATTTTTCGATTTTTCGATTTTTCGATTTTTCGATTTTTCGATTTTTCGATTTTTCGATTTTTCGATTTTTCGATTTTTCGATTTTTCGATTTTTCGATTTTTCGATTTTTCGATTTTTCGATTTTTCGATTTTTCGATTTTTCGATTTTTCGATTTTTCGATTTTTCGATTTTTCGATTTTTCGATTTTTCGATTTTTCGATTTTTCGATTTTTCGATTTTTCGATTTTTCGATTTTTCGATTTTTCGATTTTTCGATTTTTCGATTTTTCGATTTTTCGATTTTTCGATTTTTCGATTTTTCGATTTTTCGATTTTTCGATTTTTCGATTTTTCGATTTTTTTAGATTTTTCGATTTTTTTTTCGATTTTTCGATTTTTAGATTTTTAGATTTTTCGATTTTTCGATTTTTCGATTTTTCGATTTTTCGATTTTTCGATTTTTCGATTTTTCGATTTTTCGATTTTTCGATTTTTCGATTTTTCGATTTTTCGATTTTTCGATTTTTAGATTTTTAGATTTTTAGATTTTTAGATTTTTAGATTTTTAGATTTTTAGATTTTTAGATTTTTAGATTTTTAGATTTTTAGATTTTTAGATTTTTAGATTTTTAGATTTTTCGATTTTTCGATTTTTCGATTTTTCGATTTTTCGATTTTTCGATTTTTCGATTTTTCGATTTTTCGATTTTTCGATTTTTCGATTTTTCGATTTTTCGATTTTTCGATTTTTCGATTTTTCGATTTTTCGATTTTTCGATTTTTCGATTTTTCGATTTTTCGATTTTTCGATTTTTCGATTTTTCGATTTTTCGATTTTTTGATTTTTCGATTTTTCGATTTTTCGATTTTTCGATTTTTCGATTTTTCGATTTTTCGATTTTTCGATTTTTCGATTTTTCGATTTTTCGATTTTTCGATTTTTCGATTTTTCGATTTTTCGATTTTTCGATTTTTCGATTTTTCGATTTTTCGATTTTTCGATTTTTAGATTTTTCGATTTTCTTTTATTGATTAAATGAGAAGTTAATATTGTTTAACGCCGCACCGCTGTGCCGGTTGGAGTGGGGGGTGTTAGGTTTTGTTTCGTTACGGTCGTTACGGAATTTCTTCTTCGCGATAAAAGCTATGCAATAGCCTAAAAAATTTTTTTGTCAGATTAGGCGAATCCCGCTAGATAATCGTCAGACATAAAGATGAACTATATATATCTTAATATGATGCGCTTGAGTATTTCAAAATGGCGAATTTTTTTGCACATTATAATAATGGCCGTGAGCTTGCGTCACATCGAAATCGTTAGATTATTGAATGGAAGATTTTTTTTGGTTCACGTAACACCCCCTTAGAAAATCTGACGCGATCGATTACGTTTTTTTTTATTTTTAACCCTTACGTACAACCACCCGCATCATGCAAACGATCAGATTAACATATGTACATTATTAAAAATACGTAGGACATTGATGCTATCAATATCTGACGCGCTCGAGTATGTCCATGCATATTTAAAAATATATAGCCGCTTCCCCCACCGATGAAAAGGTATATATTATATGACTTTTTTTCTTCTTATTATCTAAGCTTTGCAACCCAGTAGGGGTCGAGTAAATCCCCATTTAGCATCGTGAGCTCCCCTACTAAATATCCTGATGTGGTAGGGTAAAATGGACCCCGGACTCGAATTCAACGATCCCAAAAACATAAGGAAAATATAATTTTTTTTTTGGTGTAAATGTTAACTTTTATGGACTAATTTATTTTTTATCTTGTACATTTTCCCGGCACATCCTGTATTTGTAAGCTCTTTGGTTTTTGAAATTTGACTTTGTTATAAAATTTACCCACTCATGTGGCACTTAATATCGGACTGTCAGCATGGTTTCATGGCAAATAGATCTACTATGACAAATAAAAAGTATCTCGCTTCTGAGGAATTTTATAGAAAACACTCGATCACAGTAGACTAGTAGATGTTATCTTAACTGTTTTTGAAAAGGCTTTCGGTAAGATTGATCACATATTTCTAAAAACGTTAAATCAGCTTGGTTTTTTAAAATTAATTAATATGTTCTTTCTCTCTTACTTTTCATTAAGAAAGCTGTTTATAACTTGTAGTGGCACCTCAACTAAATCACTTTTTGTCTTAAGTACTCTGTTAGTTTTTTATCAACGATATTACAGATTTCATTTTTTCCCTCAAAACTATCGTTTGCTGATTATTTAAAACTATTTTTTACATATTTTGATATAGGTGACTGTTTATATCATTAGGAGCAGTTAGATCAGTTGCTAATTTTGCTTATGCGCATTATTTGTTACAAAATGTAAAGCTATAACTTATACTAGAAAAGTTAACCCAACAAATTTTAATTATGCAATAACCAATTAAATTTCCTCCAGACATTCCCAAGTTGAAAATTAGGTGTTGTTTATTCATTAAAAGTTAATCTTCAATGCGATCACAATTGAGACAATTTGTATAGCGGTACATAGAAACACTTGTGCTTTTAATTAGGAATTGTCGAAAGTTTACAACCAATATTTCTCTCAAGTCTTTGTATGTTGCTTTTGTACCTTCTAAACTTAAGTTTTCCAAAGAAATTGATCCTTGCTTTGAATTAACGTATAATTAAATTATTTTACCTGTTATCCTCGGAACTTATTTATTAGGTCAATTTATTCTATCCGTGTTATTTGATATATTGTATTGTTAGAGTCTGAATGAGATCCCTTTCCTGTACCCATTATCCTTTCGACTAAATATTTAATTTTTATTATTTACTTTGTTCGAAGTTTCACCGGGATGGACTTTGAAGTATTTAATTATTAAAACTAAGTTTTCAATAACTTTCGAAAGTATTATAGATAGTTATTTTACCCGTTTGCCTTATACTTGTAGTTATTTGATCGTGTATAGACCTTTGATCAGATTACAACATTCTCCTTTTACATATACATATTAAATTATTAAACTGTATATGAAATACATACTTTTATTTAATTAATTGTTTATGTAGTTACTATAAACTTGTTTCAATTTTACTTAAAATTCGATGTTAATATTGTAATAAAAATGCTGCCTTGTTATTTTATAATTATTTTCAAAAATTGTGTTAAATATATTTTTTTGACAGAGTGATCACGGATCAGATAGTTAGTTGAAGGAGTTATTGTCAATCATTGTCACGATTTGATGTAATACATTTCGTTGAGAATAAATATTTTTCCTAACAAAAAGAGCACAATATTACATTATTCAACATGGTCCTTCGAGCCGGATTTGTGAGAAGAGAGGAGATATAAACTAGCCAACCTGAGAAACTTTTCGAGAATTTTCATAGCACGGAGGAGAACCGAGGAGATACATTGAGAAGTTCTTCTAACATTTGTTTCTGAGTTATCCAAGCGCATATCGAGTTACAGGAGATTAGCAGAGAAAGACCTGGAGTACTGCTCGGCTTGTGTTGAAGACTGAAGGTAAAAAGTGTGAGGATCGGTATATTATCAACTTTAGTTTTCTGCTAAATAAAATTGCCTTCTATTTAGCGAGAACGGTGTTTATAAAGGTAAGATGGCGGAAGCTGCCAAATTAAAAAATTTAATTAAATCTAGGGGAACTTTAAAAGCTAGACAAGCATACTTTAAAAAATACTTGGAAGAAGTTAAACGGGCTAATATAGATAAAGAAATAAATAATTATGATCAAATCTTGATTCTAGAAATATAAGGTAGAATAGAAAGACATTTTAAAGTTCTAAATGATTTTGACACCATACAAGGTGAAATAGAAAATTTAGCGGATGATATTGAAACTGAAGTTGAGGAGAGAGAAGAATTCGAAGGTACGTGTTTACAGTTATTAGCTTCCGCGAAATCTATTGTAAATTACTATTATTCGTCTCAAAAACAAACGAGAGAAATAGATGCCATTTCAGTACGTTCAGAAAATAGTATTTACCGAGATATCAAGCTGCCCGATATACAGCTACCAAGATATGGGGGAGACTACGGTAGTTTTCTGGAATTTAGGGACTTATTTGACAGTTTAATCAATTCTGATAAGACCTTAGCAGATATTCAAAAATTTCATTATCTAAGATCAGCGGTATTTGGGGGCGCAGCGCAGGTTATACGTAGTATAGAGTTTACAGGTGA